ATTTCTTTCAGTGCTTTTATCACCCCCTTTTTGAAGTCATGATCTAGTAGAGTGTTGAGGTCTGTCTCACTGTTTGTTCTTTCAGGGAACTTCTCTTGTTCTTTTAATTGGGAGTGGTTCCTCTGCTTCTGCATTTTACTTACATTTCTCTGGCTCTGTGGATTTAGGAGTATCAGTAATCTACCATGGTCTTGAAGGGCTGTTTTTTTGTTTGCTTTTGTTTAAAGTGGAAGCGTTCCTGTGTAGACTGTGTGCATCTAATAGTTTTGTTGTGAGGGCTGTTCTTAGTGTGGATGGTTGTCACGTCTTTCTTCCATGTGTGTTGCCTGTTATCCCTTTGATGGGGTGTGGTTGGTGTTGCAGTGATCAGAGTCTGCCCCGATTGTTGTTGTTGAGCAGGGCCTTCTCTTTTGTTCTGTGGTTGTCACAGCCTTGATAGGGGCTGGGTCTGCTTCCCTGTTGCTGGAATAGGGGCTTCTAGACCTGTTTCTGAGCTCTGGTGTGTAGTAGGCAGGGTTAGAGCGCTTCATCTGGGAAGAAGTGTCACTGAGGATACCTCTGCAGGAGGGCACTGGGAAGTGCCCTCTGTGGTGGTGTCTGTCACTTGTGCGGGCTTACAAAATACTCTGTTGATGCTGCCTTTGTTCCTGCTTTAGCTGGGGGAATGTCAGCCACCTGCTCGGGTGTCCCCCAGGGTCTGGGCTCCCAGAACCACCAGCACAGATCCACCAATGTCAGGTGCTAGGACCCGCCATAGCACAGTGCATCATAGAGCATGCAGTCACGTACCTGAAATCATGGTGCACCACAGGTCAGCACAGACGCCAGCCCTGCTTCCACATATGGTATGCTGGCCTGTTGTGAATTCCCGTACTTGCCCCAGCAATGAGACAGAACTCCACTCATTGTCTGTTGGTCCTAGAGGTGCAGGTTCACAAAGGTGCCTGTGGAGAAAATCCACCCTGTCTGCCTGGGGCTGTAAACAAATCTCAGGCCCGCCTGTTAAGTTGCAGGGCCACTGGGTATGGCTTCAGCTTCCTGCCTCACCTCCATGCAGCAGTAATGGCTATGACCAAGCCCTGCCTCCTTTCTCGCAAGAACACACCAACAATGGAGCCAAGTGGAGACAGAGGTTATGGTGCCACCGTGTTGTGCCCCTCCGCCCCATGCACACCAACCGTGGTGCTTTTTTTATGGGGGTTCCAGGCTGTTCTGGTCCACACACACCCCCAGCCAGAGCTCACACCGCCCTTCAGTGCCCTGAGGCTGCCTCTGTGCAGTGGGCCCCAGCCCTCTGCCTGGGCTCCTCACCGGTCTCCAGCAGCTAGTCCCGGCTTGCCCCTGCCGGCGTACGTCTAGAGCTGGGTAGGGCTTGCAGGGACCCTCTGTGTTAGTTTCCCTTAGTTCTGTCTACCGCGTGGCTGCCACTTTCTCCTCTG